GTCTGCCTCAGTAGCTCTCAGCATGAAGCTGCAGAAGTCCTCGGATAGGAAAACACCATGGAAAAAATCACCTCCCGGCAGCGAAACACCATGCCTCTGCAGGACGGAGATAACGTAACTTCTGAAACCGATAGAAAATGATGCTTTTAGCTCCTTTTTCCTCTTGCTGCTGCTATGAATTTTGGCTACCTTTTACATCCATTCCCCAAATGGGAACACACCTAGTCCTCGGATGCAGCAAAACACCATGCCTCTGAAGGACGGATGCTTGCAGCTTGGAGCCACCAAACAACAGCTGCAGGAGACAGAAAAAGAGATTTTTTCTAGGAATTCAGAAGGGACGTTAGGCAGTTTTTGTGGGTAAGTTTGAGCACGGTTTCGGCACGCAATTAGGTGCTGTTTTGCTGCTTGGCCTGATCAGGCAGACTGCCCAACTTTTCGGGGTCGGCGGCAGGGGCGGCAGCCGTAGTAGTAGTAGTAGTAGTAGTAGTAGTAGTAGTAGTAGTAGTAGTAGTAGTAGTAGTAGTAGTAGTAGTAGTAGTAGTGGTAGTGGTAGTAGTAGTAGTAGTACTAGTAGTAGTAGTAGTAGTACTAGTAGTACTAGTAGTACTAGTAGTACTAGTAGTAGTAGTAGTAGTCGTCGTAGTCGTAGTAGTCGTAGTAGTCGTAGTAGTCGTAGTAGTCGTAGTAGTCGTAGTCGTAGTAGTCGTAGTAGTCGTAGTAGTAGTAGTAGCAGTAGTAGTAGTAGTAACACGGCCCTCCCGGACGGGGAAACACCATGGCCCTGAAGGACAAACAGAGTCCAAAATAAGCGTTTCCCGGGGCCGGAACGTCCCTTCTGAAATCTCCTACAAAAAGCTTGCTATACGTTTCTCGAGGCTGGCTGCTGGCTCGCTGCTAGCTGCTGCACTGCTGCCGTTGCGCTTACTGCTGCGTCTGCTTGTGTCTGCTGCTGCCTACTGCTGCCTGCTGCTGCCTGCGGCTGCTACTAGTAGTAGTAGTAGTAGTAGTAGAAGTAGTAGTAGTAGTAGAAGTAGTAGAAGTAGTAGAAGTAGTAGAAGTAGTAGAAGAAGTAGTAGTAGAAGTAGTAGTAGAAGTAGTAGTAGAAGTAGTAGTAGAAATAGTAGTAGAAGTAGTAGTAGAAGTAGGAGGAGAATTAGTAGTATAAGTAGTAGTAGAAGTAGTAGTAGAAGTAGTAGTAGAAGTAGTAGAAGAAGTAGAAGAAGTAGAAGAAGTAGAAGAAGTAGAAGAAGTAGAAGTAGTAGTAGTAGTAGTACTAGTAGTAGTAGTAGTAGTCGTAGTCGTAGTCGTAGTCGTAGTGGTAGTAGTAGTAGTAGTAATAGCAGGGCAGTACCTCTTCTTCCCTTACGCGCTCCCCCTTGCGTCGGCCGGGGTCGGCGGATATTGTAATTATATATATATAGTGTATGTATATATATATATATATAGTGTATATATATATATACTTGTAGTGTGTGTATATATATATATATTGTGTGTATGTATATATATATATATACTATGCGTGTGTGCTATACTGCACATTTATATGCTATGATATTTTTGTATATATATATATACCTACATATACATATACACACACACACCTGATGCAAAACCGCGCGCAAAAGCCTGGATGTTCAGATGTCACTCTGCCAGGTGATTTAGTGACAATCGCCAAACTTGATGGTACTGCAAATGACAGTCCAGTTGACGAGCTGGATGCTCGGCTGGATCTGTAGTCACATGTAGTCACTAGCAACTGCGCCACCACATCAACATCATTTCCACAAAAGATCATCCAACACCTCATGATGGACCATCGTTAGAATCATGTTCCCCATGAGATCCCATGAGAATGGGTAAATCCCCAATATTTTGATTCAAATTTGTGGAGTTTCAGGAGGACTGGCGCAAGTGAATCACCACACAGTTCTCAGGACTGGACTTCTTTCCCCACGATTTTTTTCGTCAAGGCAGGTGGAAATGCCACCGTCTATGATGGTGAACGAACTGCCAAAGGCCTGTGGAGCTTTGTTTGCATCGTAATTTTGGGGTTGAGACAGACCTTGTTTGAAGGCGACGAAGAAAGAAAGAGAAAAAAGGAGGGAGAGACAGAGAGCCAAAAAGACAGAGAGAGAGAGAGACAGACAGACAGACAGACAGACAGACAGACCGACGGACAGACAGACAGACAGACAGATAGACAGATAGACTGATAGACTGATAGACAGATAGAGAGAGAGATAGAGAGATAGAGAGATAGACAGATAGAGAGATAGAGAGATAGAGCGATAGAGAGGTAGAGAGATAGAGAGATAGACAGATAGACAGATAGAGAGATAGAAAGATAGCGAGATAGACAGATAGAGAGATAGACAGATAGACAGATAGACAGATAGAGATAGAGATAGAGATAGATAGAGATAGATAGAGAGAGATAGATAGATAGATAGCTAGCTAGCCAGCTAGCGCTAGCTAGATAGATAGATAGATAGAGAGATAGAGAGATAGAGAGATAGAGAGATAGAGAGGTAGAGAGCTAGAGAGCTAGAGAGCTAGAGAGCTAGAGAGCTAGAGAGGTGGAGAGGTGGAGAGAGAAAGAGAGAAAGAGAGAGAGAGAGAGGGAGAGAGAGAGAGAGAGGGAGAGAGATAGACAGATGGAGAGATGGAGAGATAGATAGAGAGAGAGAGAGATAGAGATAGAGATAGAGAGTCAGAGAGATAGAGAGATAGAGAGACAGAGAGTCAGAGAGTCAGAGAGAGGATAGATATAGAGAAAGAGAGAGATAGAAAGATAGAGAAAGAGAGAGAGGATAGATATAGAGAAAGAGAGAGATAGAAAGATAGAGAAAGAGAGAGATAGAAAGATAGAGAAAGAGAGAGATAGAAAGATAGAGAGATAGATAGAGAGAGAGAGATAGAGAGAGAGAGAGAGCGAGAGATAGACAGATAGAGAGATAGATAGAGAGATAGAAAGATAGAGAGATAGAAAGCTAGAGAGATACACAGATAGAGAGATAGAAAGATAGAGAGATAGAAAGATAGAGAGGTAGAGAGATTAAAAAAAAGAGATAGAGATAGAAAAATAGACAGATAGAGAGATAGGCAGATAGATAGAGTGCGAGATAGAGAGAGAGAGAGAGAGATAGAGTCAGATAGAGAGAGATAGAGAGGTAGAGAGATAGAAAGATAGACAGATACAGAGATAGGGAGAGAGATAAAGTGCGAGATAGATAGAGCGATAGAGAGGTAGAGAGATAGAGAGATAGAAAGATAGAAAGTAGCGAGGTAGACAGATAGAGAGATAGACAGATAGAGAGATAGACAGATAGAGAGATAGATAGATAGATAGATAGACAGATAGATAAATAGATAGACAGACAGACAGACAGATAGATAGATAGAGAGATAGAGAGATAGAGAGATAGAGAGATAGAGAGATAGAGAGATAGAGAGAGAGAGATAGAGAGAGAGAAAGAGAGATAGAGAGAGATAGAGAGAGATAGAGAGATAGAGAGGATTAGCGAGAGATAGAGAGAGATAGAGAGAGAAAAGAGAGAAAAGAGAAAGACATCTCATGATATCTCATGTCTTAGAATGGAAAGCATCATCCTGACCCATTCTGCTGAGTGCCCATGGGGCATTTTCAGGGAAAATCGCTCGGCTGTGGACAGCTTAGGAAATACATTCGGAAGCATGCGACCAAAGCACAAGAGATCCGCGAAAGATTGGACAGAAGAAAGGCACGTGACTGGTGCTGCAGTGTTGGCATGTGCGAGTCTGCGGTAAACCCTAAATTACCCTCTGGTAAACTAACATAGCTATTGAAAATGACCCATATTTATAGTGGATTTTCCCATTAAAAATGGTGATTTTCCATAGCTATGTTAAATAACCAGAGGGTAAATTATAGTAAAATATTATTACTGTAATGCACTTCAGTTCAGTTCGCCTGCCAGGGCTCCAAGAAGGGTCAGGAGCTCAAAGTGTCGGCATGGCCGCATCGCTAAAAATGGCCTCGCATCATGGTAACAGTGTGTTTCCGTAAATTTACCATCATAGCCATGGAAAATCACCATTTTTAATAGGTAAACCATCTACAAATGGTGCATTTTCATGCATTTTCCATGGTTATGTTAAATAACCAGAGGGTATCTATGGATCCATATGGTCCATTATTGTGTTTATTTACCATGTTGCAAAAAAGTTGCTCTTGCTGTTTACATTTGCCATGTTACTTCTCCTATGATGTATTTACTCGTGCGATTTACATCTATTTACGAGTACATGCTGATGTTCGATTCAGACTTTTCCAGGGCTTCAGTGCATTCCCACGCGCTTCGTTTCTCAATTCGCGCTTCCTTTGGCAGGCGAAGAGCTGTAAATTGGCCGATATGGAAGGCTGGGATGACAATCATGGATGGACAATTCTTCGTGGGCACAATTTAATTTGGAAGGCATGGCCCAAAACTAGAAAAACAACTTGTCCGTGCAAATGTCGTGCAACATGTTCAGTGAATTTCTGGGTCCCAGGGTGTTTTGAGCAAGGCTGTCTCCGCTCTGGACAGATGCAGAGGGCGAAGTCGAAAAGGGGCGGCTGCGGCCAAGATTCTTTGGCTTTGTTCCTAATGATACCCGGAAAGAGTGATTTTCATGGGAAAAGATCCAAATGGATAATATAATAATCTTTATATTGTTTTTTAATTATTAAATATCAAATTTGGGGGTACCTATTTTGAGACCAACCCCATATGCCTTGATCGTTGGATTGCAGATTCATCCAGAGGATGTGAGTCCTAAGTGTCCAATCCACCGGCTCACTTGTTCCGAAGCGTTCAAAATTTTCATGGGATGGCAGATTAGGTAGATTCATTCTCATATGTTTCATGTGTTTTCCATACATCAAGTGAGAAAAAAGCATGAGAATTCCATGTTTTTCCATGCTGTTTCTGGATAGAAAATCCCCGGTGATCCCCGGAAGGAAAAAAAATGCCGCCAGGCGCAGCGATTCAATCCTCAGAACGCCAAGTTGCGCGGGGAACTCCAGGAATTCGCAGAGTCTTATTGTAATCTTAATGCATGGTATATACATATAATTACATATACATTGTATCCGTCCTAATAGCTGGAACAGTCAATAAAAGGATTTCTTTAAATGTTTTGGGCAAACTTTGTATTTGAGTGTTTCCCTCGTGCAACAAATCGTGCTTTTTGGTGCTTTCCCTCGTGAAAAAAGCGTGCTCTAGATCGTGCTTTTTGGCACTCTCCTTCATGCAAAAATGTGTGCTCTAGATCGTGCTCGCTGTTACGGCTATTAGGCTAGTGTCAACATATGTGTTTAATTATATATTCATATATATATATATATATTAGTGTGTGTATGTGTGTGTGTGCATTCATTGTGAGATATTTTGAAATAGAATAATATAACATCATATAGCTATATCAATCTTCTCATGTTAGATCCGAGGCAAACTCATCCGCCTCGACGTGGCGCGCTGCTTTGCGGAGGCGGAGACACAGTTTCGACTACCGAGTCCAGATGGGGGTTGGGGGTGCTCTTTATTTGCTGGCTGGTGAGAAACTAATACCCTCTGGTAAACTAACATAACTATGGAAAATCACCATTTTTAATGGGAAAATCCACTATAAATCACCATTTTCAATAGCTATGTTAAATTACCAGAGGGTATAAATTATCAAAGGCCCATATACTTTATTTATTCCATCTGCTCATCTACTCTACTCTTATTTCTTTGCGTATTTTGCGTTGGGTGACTAAACATCATTTGAGTGTCGTTCAATTGTGATCAATCCTTGCCAAAAGGATCCAAAAGGTGATATCCCAGAATTCGGAACAATGCGGAACAGTTACAGAAGTTCTGCGTATGATTGGCAAGGTAAAATAATGATAATAATAACAATTTTCCTGAAGAGGTTTCATGGAAAACAAAACCGGTGACCATAAGTTCACACGCATCCACCAGTTGATATATAGTGCTCACAGATGTTCATGGTTTTTGCCATGAATGATGTTTCCATCAATACTTTAAAGAGGCTTGTCTCATGGGCTAGTGCCGCACAGTTGTTTACAGAGCTGGAAAAAGGCGAAGCTGTTGCTTGTAATGTTTATTTTGTACAGTTGGTTTCCTTTGCTTCAAGCTCTCCCAGAATAGATATATACATATTACATCAAATTACATATGATAATTTATACAATATGTTATTATATACTATTAGATACCTAGATTATAGAAATGGGTACCCTTTTGCATATGAGCGCCGGATGGCTCAAAACTTTTTTTAAGATCTAGAATCTATAATCATCTAGACAGTCTATAAATTTATATACCCTCTGGTTATTTAACATAGCCATGGAAACGGCCCAGTTATAGATGATTTACCTATTAAAAATGGTGGATCTTTCCATGGCTATGTTAAATAACCAGAGGGTAATTTATATATGCACCTCATTTTTGGGGAAGATCCAAAGCTCCCAGTCCCAGCATTTCCATCGCCCCAGGTCCCGCGACTGCGATGTGGCGCGGCGCGCTTGGCACTGCGAAACTTATTGGAAGTTCACCTGCGAAGGCCGGCGAAATGTCATCCATGGCTGACATTTATATGGCTATGGATCAATACCTATTAATACCATTTTTAGTGGGATGAACATCCATTTACCAGCTATTTTGATGTTCACCAGGGGTACAAGGTTTTGACACACTGCCATATGATTTATCAACTGATTTATGACTGCTTGTTGGTATAGATATATGATATATAGATGGGGATAGAATTAGATAGGTAGAGTAGATAGATGTAGATTGATATCTGTATATATATAGGTAAATAGATAGATATCATGAGATAGATTAGATTAAATTAGATTAGATCAGATTAGACTATGCTAGATTAGATAGATGAATGGATAGATAGATAGATAGATAGATAGATAGATAGATAGATAGATAGTTGAAATATACACAAAAAAAACATAAGTATACATGTATACATGCTATACTTAAATAGGTATATATATATATACTGTATATATTATATTATGTGGATCAACATGGCTGGCTTTTCCAGGAAATCCCCTGGGCCACAGCCAGGTGCGAGGCCCGTGGGCGCCAGCAAGCGTATTGCTGGCTGCTCAGCGCGTTGCAGGGTGAAATGGGGATCATATGGGATCATCCCCCGAGAAACAACTGGCAATAATTAATGCTATGTCGCCGTGCCACGTCTGCATTCTTTGCCAACCGTCCGTTGCTCACGCATCGGCTTGCTCCTCGCTTGTTCACTTTTTTGGTCACAGCCTCCATTCGTTGGTCCTTGTGTGTGGTTTCTGTCAAGCAATCCAACCTTACTCTCTTGCGGGTGCTTTTTGTCACTCTCCTTACTTGGATGTTGGGAGGTCGTGCTCACCCTCCTGGTTTGCTGTGGAATTCCTTCAAGCACTTTGGCATGCTTTTAAGTTATGGGGGCGAACGTTCTCTGAAACTTGGGACCGGCTTCTTGCACGCATGGTGTGGTTGGCCACGTCCTTCCCATGCCCTCCACTTCTTTGGTCCGTTCAGTTCTGCTTAGCTTAAGGAGCACAGCCAGCCTGAACACCGGCCTACGCCGCAGACGAACGGGACCAAACAACAGTGGTCACCGGAATGTGATTCGATACCTCCACCATCGAGGAATCCCAGTCGAAACTGCTGTTGATCGGACTTCTTGGCAGCGATGCGAAGATGATTGGCTCCGTCACAACGGATTCGAAAACCTTGCCACCCCAGCCCATGTGTTTGCAGTGCCTGCTGACAAGCATTTCTGGGAGAAGAGGTGTTTGCAAGGAACATTTTAGGGGCAGCAAGTTTTTGTCGCTGATGTTGGGTCTCTGGACAGTCTGACTATTTTGGAACTTGACCGGGGTGCAGGGTGGCGGAAACACACCTGCTCTAACTGGGATCTTCGCGGGATGGATCTCATTGGCCACTGCTGTTTGAATCATCCACTGGCATCACCCATATGGAACGAATACCGAGAGAGGCGCCTTTTAGCTGTGAATTCTTTCAACAGAACTATATTGTTATCGGGATGTCGCGCCTACAGGGCACATGGATGGGAGAAATGAAGCAGCTTGTTGATACCCTTGGCTGCTGACACTCCTGTCTACCCTGGTGGAGCGGTTGCTTTCACTCGCCCTTAGCCTAGCTGAACTCTTCGAGATGGTATCTAATGGTATCTATAATATTCTATAATGGTATCTATACTGGTATCTAATGGTGTCTCACTCCTCCACCTATAGTTATCTAATGGTATCTATATTTTGGCCCACGTATGTGCAAACCAACAAGCTTTGGCATTGGGAAAACCACACTTCCGAGGTCAGGGCTACCATGAGCTTGCTGCGGTGATGCTTCTGGCATGTGATGCTGCTGAGTTGGGGCATGGCGGGACCAAATCCTTTGAGGACGTATTACATGTTTCAATAATTTTCAATAGCTCTTGACAATATCCCCAATCTATGGTTATAGAATGTATTAGAATCTGTGTGTTTCATCCACATGTTCCGTTCCCCACCGTGTTTTTAATATCGAGGTGATCCCCCTATCCCCCTGGATGGTCACCCGAGGCATGGATGGTACCTGGCCAGAACGCCAGCGTGTCGAGGAGGAACTCAGCAAGATGAATCTGGGAGAAGGCAGTGACTCAGTGACCATCCAAAACTGGGTAGTTTAATGGGATATTAATGGGATTTAATGGGATTTTATAGTGATTCAATGGGATATTAATGGGATTTAATGGGATTTTATAGTGATTCAATGGGATATTCATGGGATTTAATGGGATTTTATAGTGATTCAATGGGATATTAATGGGATATACCCTCTGGTAATGACTAACAGTTTGCTATTGAAGCCATGGCCCAGTCGAAATAGTGAGTTTTCCCATGAAAAGCATGGTGATTTTCCATAGTTTTTTGTTAACGTTTACCAGAGGGTAAGGAAACCCCAACCAATAGAAACAAGTCGCAGTCAGGTCTTGGACAATGCTGATGTTGCACCTACGGAAATCTCGCAACCAGTGATAATGCGGGATTCACCCAAAAGGAAACAACTACCATTTGGAGATGATTTGATAACCAACCCATTTTTAGTGATATTCTGTTTGCCACATTCGTCTAGGTAAATTATAACGACCACTGGAATCATGGTTAATAAGGGGAATCATCCCCAAATGGCCTTAATTCAGGTTAGTGAAATATTATAATTTACCCAGATTCGTCCTTTTTTTGGAAATCATTGGAAACCTCTAAATTTTATGGTTTGGAAACATCGGAAACGCTCAAAGCCTGGCAGATGACATCGCGGTGTACAAGGAACTCTGTAGCGCGGAGGCGGTTCCAGCAGATGCCTTGGTGGGAGTCTCAGCAATTCGGAATAAGAAATGGGAAATAGCATAGTATAACCCGTCTTCTCGCACATGTCTACCTGAATTTGATCTGAATGCATTGTGCTTTGGAAACGTGCACTTGGCCTGATGATTCTTAGGGAATTACATCTTAAAGATGGACACTACTTCTGACCTTTCTGGACTTTTGCGAGGCTTTGCTTGAGGCTTTGCTGTACGCCCGTTGCTCAGCCGATGTTCCCATCACATCCTGCTGCCGACTATGAAGCACCCACTTAGGAGCACCGCCTTGTCGACATGTACGAACCAAAACCTGAGGGCGATGAAGACGAAGACGTTGTGGCAGCTCGGGTGCAGCGATGATACGGAGAATCGGAGAATGGTTTGAATCCCACCCATAGAAACGAATCCAGAAACCTATCATTGGGGATGGTTTGAATCCCACCCATAGAAATGGTGACTTTGGGGGTAGTTTATGGCATTGGGTTTAGCACCTTACACCAGTTCCATCGTTCCAGGTGAAAACCCTTCTTGATTTCAACCCTTCTCCGTGTGTGACGTGTGGTTCCTGTTTTGGGTGCTTTTGAATTCTGCGACTATAGTTAATACCAGGACATGTTAAAGACTCGCAACCGGCCGCTGGCTTCAGCTCAAGGGGCTCGAAAAAATTGAGCTCCCAAAAAGTAGGTTTGGACTTTGTTCCCCAAATTTCAGCATCTTTTCATCATTTTCCTCCTATTTTTCGTATGGCTTCCATCATCGCAGGAACATGGTCCTTGATCAGTTCCAGCGCAGAGGTGGTGTCCAAGGCCCGGGGCATGACGCTAGGGATCCACAAGCTGCTACAGCCCGAGGCCGTGGACCTGAGCGAAGGGGACAGGAGGCGCTTGATTGGGCTGCAGAGGCGCGTGCAGTGCATGGTGCAGCCGCTGAATTTTTTGCGCCTTGGACGATTTTTCAGGGGGCGATGTTTGGACATTTTTGAGGAGGATTTGATGGAAAAAATATGAAAAAAATTGAAAAAATGCTTCCAAGAATTTCCAAGATGTAGTTTGTGTAAATGGTTCAGATGGTTCAAAGTTTGCAAAGATGTGCATAGGCGTTTGGAAAGAACTTGCCGCAAGAAAAACGGGATGGGTAGCAAGCGACTCTCTTGGTTTCGGTGGTTTCACAATGTGATACATTTGTGTCACATACAGATTATGTATTATTATGCGTTCAGATTGTTCATTGCATATCATTGCATCATAAATTAACTGATCTCCAGTCACTGGGTTTAGTGGTTCACATGTAGTTTTTGTTTGTTTGTTATATATGTCTTTATCGATTTTATCGGTGCCCAACCAATCGGGATGCACGGGATATTTTTGAGCATGGGTTTTTCTGAAACCACCAGGTTGCTGTGGTCCAAAAGTCGGGACGATCGAGTGCAGCAAGTGGTTTTGAATGCGCAAGAGCTGCTCTTTGACATTTACACCTTCATAGAATATTTGTCAGATGATCAACCAGCTCATGCAAGGGCGAGACGCTGGAGCAGTGCGACCAAATCGGAACAGTTGGATTTTTTCTTGAGAGAATTGGATTTCACCTGCATTTCAGTGAACATGGCCCTGAATATGGAGGTCCGTAGCGACCCAGTGCAGTCCAAAGACTTCTCCCTGTTGGCCTCGTTGCGTGCACACCGGAGGATTAAGGAAATGGAGGGTCGTAGCGGGCACCTTTGTGCCATGTTGGGATGTTTGTACAAGGGCCAGGGCCAGCACGATGGGTGGTCGCCTGCCTTATCGCTAGCCACTTTCAAGGTGGTGGCCATGTTGGGACCCGGAGCCAATGGGCTGAGCCCGGTACAACGCTATGGCATTGAAATTGAGAGCCGGCTGCCCTTGAGCCAAAGAGGAAGCTCAGCTGAGATGGCAGAGAGTTATGGTCTCAACTCTTCAACCAGATTGGAATTTCCCATCACTGCCGCCTGTAAAGCCCAGTTGCAGACCACGGGACGTTTGAATCTGGTGGTCACTACAGGGTCGCAGGATCTAGCCGTGGACTCCTTGGCTTTGGTATGGAGCGATGCATCTAGTGGCCAATCCAAAGAAAGAAAAGGCGAGTGCTTCGCTTTCGTCTTTGATGGGCCAGGTGCGCCCTGTGACACGGGGGAACTGGTTCTGACTCCACTGGACGCCATTTATTTGGCGCGTTTGTGTGCGGAACTGGAACGGAAAGGTCCCAAAGGTCCCAGGGATCAGGCCAAGGCCTCGCTAGCAGGACCTTCGTCGAAAAAAAAGTTTTCCTGAAAATTCAATGGCTCCTGGTATTTCGCTGGGTTTCATTTGGCTGTTTGCTGGAAGCAGGGCAGACAATGCGCCAAAATAATCCAAAATATCTATTGAATGCTGCCAAATGGTAGGAGAACTGACAGAGGCCACAACACAGGAAAATAGAGCATCTCAAATGGTGTCAGGGAATGTCAGGGAGTGGGGTGCTTCATGGGTGTTTCAAAGTGGTTGACATATTTTCCATATATTTTCCATATTTGTCTAGTCAAGAATCGGATGAATTTCCCCAAAACTGCTGGGAACACCCATTGTATGTTTGAATATTATTTACATTTATTTACTCTCTCGTAATTTCTTACACTGGAAAATCGCCTACAAGTAATAGGTGAATCATCTACTTTCAATTGCCATCTATACCTTAAGCATACCTTAAGCTATGTAATGTAGTAAACCCAATAATAAACATGTGGTGTTTCGTAATCCCAGCTCTTAAGCTATTTATGGGGATATAAGGATTATTAGATTTTCTTATTTACTTTATACTATGGAAGTGGAGTTATGACGGATTCCATCATGTTTTGTTTTACATAACATGCAACCAACAGCTTTGTTACGTGCAATTTTGACAACGAACAGCTGAACAGTGGGTCCCGTTTTTTTTTTCCCTTAAATTCCCGTTTTTTTTTCCCTTAAATTCCCTTTTTTTTTCTCCTTAAATTCCCGATAATTCCTTAAATTCCACAGGTCTGTAGAATTTAAGGGTCTTATTTTCTTAATTTCTGAAAGACACAAACATTTTTTTTCAAATACTTTACTTCTTTATATTTAATTTTATTTGTGGTGTTTCTTTTTTTGGGATCAAGGCTCAAGTCAAGGCTTAAGTTTTTTTTTCCTTATTTTTTTCCTTAAATTCCCGTTTTTTTTTCCTTAAATTTCCCTTTTTTTTCCCCCTTAAATTCCCGTTTTTTTTTTCCCTTAAATTCCCGGTTTTTTTTTCCTCCTTAAATTCCCGATAATTCCTTAAATTCCACAGGTCTGTAGAATTTAAAGGTCTTATTTTCTTAATTTCTGAAAGACAAAAACATTTTTTTCAAATATTTTACTTCTTTGTATTTAATTTTATTTGTGGTGTTTCTTTTTTTGGGCTCAAGGCTCAAGTCAAGGCTCAAGTTTTTTTTCCTTATTTTTTTTCCTTAAATTCCCGTTTTTTTTTCCCCTTAAATTCCCGTTTTTTTTCCCGCTTAAATTCTCGGTTTTTTTTTTCCTCCTTAAATTCCCGATAATTCCTTAAATTCCACAGGTCTGTAGAATTTAAGGGTCTTATTTTCTTAATTTCTGAAAGACAAAAACATTTTTTTTCAAATATTTTACTTCTTTGTATTTAATTTTATTTGTGGTGTTTCTTTTTTTGGGATCAAGGCTCAAGTCAAGGCTTAAGTTTTTTTTCCTTATTTTTTTCCTTAAATTCCCGTTTTTTTTTCCTTAAATTCCCGTTTTTTTTTTCCCTTAAATTCCCGTTTTTTTTTTCCCTTAAATTCCCTTTTTTTTCCTCCTTAAATTCCCGATAATTCCTTAAATTCCACAGGTCTGTAGAATTTAAGGGTCTTATTTTCTTAATTTCTGAAAGACAAAAACATTTTTTTCAAATATTTTACTTCTTTGTATTTAATTTTATTTGTGGTGTTTCTTTTTTTGGGCTCAAGGCTCAAGTCAAGGCTTAAGTTTTTTTTCCTTATTTTTTTCCTTAAATTCCCGTTTTTTTTCCCTTAAATTCCCGTTTTTTTTCCCCTTAAATTCCCGTTTTTTTTTTTCCCTTAAATTCCCTTTTTTTTTCTCCTTAAATTCCCGATAATTCCTTAAATTCCACAGGTCTGTAGAATTTAAGGGTCTTATTTTCTTAATTTCTGAAAGACAAAAACATTTTTTTCAAATATTTTACTTCTTTGTATTTAATTTTATTTGTGGTGTTTCTTTTTTGGGGCTCAAGGCTCAAGTTGTTTTTCCTTATTTTTTCCCTTAAATTCCCGTTTTTTTTTCCTTAAATTCCCGTTTTTTTTTCTCCTTAAATTCCCGATAATTCATTAATTTCCACAGGTCTGTAGAATTTAAGGGTCTTATTTTCTTAATTTCTGAAAGACATAAACATTTTTTTTCTCAATACTTTACTTCTTTATATTTAATTTTATTTGTGGTGTTTCTTTTTTTGGGCTCAAGGCTCAAGTCAAGGCTCAAGTTTTTTTTCCTTAAATTCCCGTTTTTTTCTTAAATTCCCGTTTTTTTTCTCCTTAAATTCCCGATATTTCCTTGAATTCCACATGTCTGTAGAATTTAATGGTTTTATTTTCTACATTTCTGAAAGAAAAAAACACTTTTTTTTTTACAAATACTTATTTATATTTAATTTTATTGGCTCAAGCTTTTTCCCCTTAAATTCCCGATAATTCCTTAAATTCCACAAGTCTGTAGAATTTAACTATTTGACAGTTTTTTCATTTAACAATTTTGATGATTTAAATGAAAATTCATCTTAAAACATAAAATTCATTCAATAGACACAAAAGGAGTCTATGGAACAAATTTGATGTTTTTTAGATATTTTTGGATTAAAATAATCAAAATCATTAAATGATAAAAACTATAGTTTTTTTTAAATTCTACAGACCTGTGGAATTTAAGGAATTACCGGGAATTTAAGGAAAACAAAAAAACACTGGAATTTAAGGAGAAAAGGAAGTCCATGCCAGTGGAAGTGGAACTTAAGGAATTACCATGGATTTAAGATTGAAAAAACATTTTATTTAAATATAAATTTTCAAAAAAGAAACATCTCTGAAATTGTCTGACTGAAACTGAAACTGAAATTGAAATTATTTTTTTTGTGTTGTTTTTACATTTTTTCACAAACTCTCTAAAATCAAAAATATCAATATAATATTTCTTAGATAAAACTTAGACCTGTACCTAGACCCTGAACCTTGGCCTTGACCTAACCCTAGACTCGAGTGACTCTAGACCCTATCCCTAGCCATTGTCTGGTTTCCTGATTTTGTTGGTTCAATCAGTCGCCAGTCACTAGTCACTGTCCAGTCCATGCCATGCCAGTTCAATGGAAATTGAAATGAAAATCTGCTTTCCGACGACTGACAGCTGAACAATTCAGTGGGACCAATATACACAACATCTTATGCTTTTCAGCTTATGCAACCAACAGGTTTCTAGTTCATCCCTCCATTCATCATAAAACAAATGAACATCGATCTTCACAAAAAAAACACGTACAGTTTTCAGCCCAGAATTCTCACTGATAAGTTTATTATAAAAAAACATCATTGTGTGCAAATTTGGAATTTTTTTATTGGTTGTGCATCTGCAAAAGCTTATGATCCATAGGTATTCCTTAAATTCCACTGAACCACCTTGATTGCGAAACACAACACATAAACAATCCCCAATTATCCCAATGTTTGTTCATTATTTGGTATACCCCTATTTGTCCTTGGTGTATGGGATGGTTTCCGCCGGTCGAGGTTCCCCCGCCGGCGGTAATCGAGTAACCAAGGCCTTGCGTTGCCGGAGAATCATCACTGCTTTGAGACCAGTGCTGTCCTTAGCTCCAACATGATCAAAGCAAACTGCAGTGGAGTAGCCTGAATATATGTATATATATAGTATATGGATGGATGCAAGCATGTATGGATGTATGTATATGTGTATACATATTTAAATGTGTATACATCTATATATGTATGTATGTATGTATGTATGTATACATATGGGTAGATAGATGATAGAATAGAATAGAATAGAATAGAATAGATAGAAAGATAGATAGATAGATAGACAGATCTATCTCGTGTGTATTCGATGTATGTCTACATATGTGTTTGCGTATCATTATGCCATTATATGCCACTATATGCCTAGATATATGATATATGCATTCCTTTTTTAATGCATGGAATGTATGCACCCCGTACCTATAGCTTTCACACACCCACACACACACAGCATTGACTAAGATCTCGGCAGATGTGGCCGACAAGGCATGGAGACTCAAGCTAAGCTGAGCTGCGGTGCTGCGATGGAGCTGGTAGGTTACTAGGTAATGGGATGGTGTTTGCTGTGTATGCATTCCGGTTGGCTGTGAAATAGGGTTGATGATGATATCGCATATTTATTCTACCATTTCCGTTGGCAATCTACAGAGAGCTAATACATGTTACTTGTAATTACTTGCTGGTCTTGGTTGTCTGGAAATTTGGAAGTCCAATGCCCAGCTAAAAAATCTAAAGCTGAATTGTGTAGAGCATTTAGGATGGACAAGGGGAGAATCACACCACAGTACAGCCTCCTACAGGTTGAGAGCTGGGGACTCTCCCCTCATGTTCTCCTGCTTCGCTGGGCCGTGGTCCTGGGTTCTGGAGGATCCCACATGAGATGGGAACCCCCGAAATGTTTTCATCCAGGGCTGGTGGCGGCTTAACATGGCTTAACCACCCAGTCTCAGGTCAGGCTACTCTTCTTGCGCGAGCTGAAGTTCCCGAACGACGTGTTGGTGGCCCGCACCCCAGGGGCGATTAGGGTCCCTGGTGAGATAGTCCTTCAAAGGTTCCGGTCTTGAGGCGACTTGTCTGAACATAGGGCGAAATAGGGCACCGCAGTTCCAAATACAATATGGAGAGAAAGAGAGAGGGAGAAACAGAGTTCCAAAGGATTGTCTATTGCGATTTTTTCCCAATGAAATTGCCATTTAATTAGGTGAATTCCCTGAGGCAACCCCCAATAGCTGTGTGTTTCAGCATGTTTCAGCAATTCCCTGGCCGATCCCTGAAGTGTTGAGGCTTGGGATGCCATTTTTGCGGATGTTCCATCCTTAGATCCACAAAAACGTCGCGCATGTTGACACCATGCCCACCATGCCACATCCTTCGGCTCCAGGCATATATGATCAATAGTGATGAGAAGGCGCTCCGGTGGATGCTGAAGAAACACTCCTTCTGAATTGATCCACAACTGATCCACACCAGGTCACTAGGTTTTTAGAAGCTGCTTAGTGACCTGGTAAATCAAAAGTCTCAGGAAACCTTGCGTTTTTTAATAGAAATGGACCGAAAACATCAGAAAACTGCATGTGTTTTTCCAGAATCCAGTGAAATCTGACGGGTGCAAACAAGGCACCAGCAGCCGGGGTGCTTCCCTCCAGTGCAGCTTTGCCACTCAGTGACGACTTCGCTCAAGCGTCGGCCCTGCACGGTTGCATTTTTTGGATGATTTTGGATGATCATTGCCGGATTCCGATGATGCCATTGGAAGGCCCCAAAAGAACTACCATTTGGTAATTTAACATAGCTATTGAAAATGGCAATTTATAGTGAGTTTTCCCATTAAAAATTGTGATTTTCCATAGTTATGTTAGTTTACCAGAGGGTAAGTCAAAGTCCTGATTTCAGGATGATTTTAGCTATGTCTCCAACCAATCCCGAGCAGCGACTGCCTTAGCAAAGCCCTTGCTTTGTTGCGCATCTTCCGCCAAAAAGTCGCGTGGAATTCTGATGAATTCTGCAGCTCTGAGGCTTTTACACTATAGCGATCGTTCGCCCAATGTCAATCAACTCTTGCATTTGGCCTTCTTCTCAGCCTGCCATAGGGGGTTTCCTGGCGGTTTCATGCAGTTTCCAAATGTTTCCCTGCTGGACATATTTTCCATTATTTTCCACCCAACCCTAAGGCCAGGAATGGATGAAAGTCCCAGATATGGCCTAGCATTTCTTGGCATTTTCTTGGCCAAGGCCCATCAACTTCGGGTCTACCAACGCAATGGG